ACTCGTTTCATGTGGTCGTAGCTAAAAAGTGAAAAATAATCGTTTATTTAATGTATAAAATCAACACCGATGGTCATATTATCATTGCCTAATATAAGTACCTACTCGTTTAATAAATAAAAGCATCGTGCAATAATATTGCGGTAATAAGCAAATCGCGCTTGAAAATGTTTACTTTTTTTATAAAAAATACGATACTTATACGTATACGTACTACGCCATCAAACGTAAAATAATTTGCTAGTTAGGTGCATTATAAATTATGTTATATATAATATAGTTAAGTGATCGTAAGTACATAAAAATATAAAATATGGCCTAAAGGTATATCATTTACGTTTTTACAATAAAAAAGTACGTCTTACAAACCCATTTTATTATATATTTAATTTCAAATATCGTTCTTTTATTTAAAAAAAAAAAAATTAACACAATATGTTCTTTTCTCTAATAGAGACATCATCAGCGAATCAGGACAATCACGCCAAATTATTTATTAAGTAATTATTAAAGAAAATACAATTAATTTGTACAGACATTAAAATTGGAATTAAACAATATTAATTAAAACCACTCCTTAATTTGGTATATTATATTATTTTATTTACAATAATAATAATAATAATTATAACATATAGGACTGTTCCGATATATTATATGAATTGCTGCGGAGATTGTGTATGAAATAATTTATATTATTATATTGATTACACACTTATAATATATTGTTAAGAGCATCTTGACATTGACCTTTCGATTGATCCTTAATATATTTATATATTTTTATTTCTATGTTAAATTAATTTAGCACTCTATATAGTATTGGCGTGAATTTAAATTTGATTAGCACCTTTTATACGGCTGTGAAAACGTATTATAATAATTTAAATCGTTGCCTAAATAGGTAGACCTGGATAATATAATATTGTATATGATTTACGCTTTTAAACGTGTTTATTAAATAACAAAAAATGTTTATAAGATGTTTATCATGTTTATTCGTCGATTTCCGGCCAACTTGATAACAAAAAAAAATTTAATTTTCCACTTGCAAAAATTAAAGTAGGTAGATATTCTAATTTAAAATATAATTAAATCTTATCTCAAAGTGTATTCAATAATGTATTGAATGTTCATTATCTGATACACAAATTTTACCAAGGAATGTTGTATTTCGCGTATAGCTCAAGTTTTCGGAAAAAAAAAATCTAATTTGTTTTAACAACAATAAACCGATTTTGTTAATTAAATATTATTATTATTGTTCGTTTATTAATATTATTAATTGGCTAATCTCATAACCATTATTTATTATATAATAATTGTCTAATTGTCCAAAACGATAAGTAAGTACAGGTAATTAACATTAAAAAATGAATTTATAAAACTAATGGGACAAGTACCAAAGTTTATCGGCATTTGAATATAATGAAATGATAATAGTAAGTTATGCGTTATTGGTTCATTACTTATCAGTCAAGTCTCTTCTAAACAGCCTCTAAACTTTTAAAATCAACTAATTAGTTGATTGAGCACCATGCAACATTGAAACTCTGTACGTAAGCTGCATTGATTATACTCAGTAATAATTATAAATGTATTTTAATTGCGCACATTAGATTGAAAAGTGAATTTAATTCTACAATTTAATTTTTTTAATATTCCGACGAGGCATGTAATATTATTATTTTGTTTTCTGGTTTGGGTATGACATTTTGTATTTTTTTTTTTGGGGAATATTTTAAGTTAGTTTACTGCATGGCCAGTATAATATTATAATAATACAACGAGCGGGTTCAAAACGAGATGGAACTATAAAAATGCACTCACGATGCGCCATAGGGGCCGACTTTTAAGGCCAAGTAAACTTCATCCAACAAACCTGTCTCTGCGGTGTTTATGTGTTGGTAACCGGTTTTTATTTGCATTCTACCAATCCATATAAATTATTTGACTTTATGTGGTTTGACACACCGGTGTGAATGCAACTATGAGATAATATGGAAAATTTGTTTATTTTTTTTAAAAACAATTTTGGGTTATTCTAATAGTTGTACCTATATATTTTTAAATAAATGTTGTATATTCCACAAAAAATCGTAAAATATTATAGTTAATTTGCATAAAAATAATTTCGGTTGCAGCCACTATCATAATAATTTATAACCACATGCTTAGTGCTTACATTATAGGTAGGAAACCTATACTGGGTGATTCTTTTATCAAACAACACTCATTATTTCAAAAAGTGTAAATTTTTTTGAAGATATTTTTTTACATAGTTTCAAGTCGCTTATAAAACAACGTTTTTATTAAAAATTATATTTTTAATTATTTTTTATCCTTATAATTTTTTAAGTTTTTTACTTTTTTGAACGACAACATAGGGTTTTAATTTTATATTCTAAAGTAGAATATTTTTCTTAGTATTTTGATACATGAAAATTGAATTTGGGGCGAGTAGTTTATGAGTTATAAGTATTTAAAGTTTAGACAAGCGGTGAAGTGGACAAACATTTCGCGGGGTAACCCCGAACCACTCCACTCCGCTCGTCTAAACTTTAAATACTTATAACTCATAAACTACTCGCCCCACATTCAATTTTCATGTATCAAAATACTAAGAAAAATATTCTACTTTAGAATATAAAATTAAAACCCTATGTTGTCATTCAAAAAAGTAAAAAACTTAAAAAATTATAAGGATAAAAAATAATTAAAAATATAATTTTTTAATAAAAACGTTGTTTTATAAGCGACTTGAAACTATGTAAAAAAATGTCTTCAAAAAAATGTACACTTTTTGAAATAATGAGTGTTGTTTGATAAAAGAATCACCCGGTATAACATATTATTTTAATGATTTATCATAAATCATAACAATATACCAAAATGTTACATAATAATATTACAAAAATCATAATATAATATATTATAATTAAAATAAAATGTTTAATAATTGGCAATTGTGATAAGTCATAGGCAATAATTATAAACTTAAAATTTTCCATAAACACAAATTATACTGCTTTTAGTCCGACTATCACATAAATAAATTAAAAAAATATTTACTCGTGCGGATTTCCATACTAAATAGTACAAATCAATAAATTTCAAAACTGATTATAGAACATCGAAATTCAGAAGAAAATAATTCTTTAACGATTATAATAATATTATGCTAAGTGCATTTTTAAAATAACTATATTTGTATTAATTTATCCGTTTAACATTGTTTTAGATAAAACTAACATTTTAACAGAATATACGTAAGTAGGCAAAGGAACTCATATTATAATTATTGATGTGTTGTAAATTAATTATATATTTTACAATTTACTGTATTAAATTGATTCTCGAGTTTTTGAAATTTTTTTGGTCAAATTTTATTTTATTGAAGTAATTTCATTATTATAATCGCTCTTAAGGATGTTTTTAATTAAAGTAAATTAAAAAAATCTACTGTTAATTTATTATCTTATCTTATATTATATTTCTTAGTCGAATAAAAACATTTGACTATACTTAAACACGATTTAAGTTGTATACGAACTGCCCTGGTCAAAACCGGGTTTGATATCGTCAGTATATTAAGCGACTGAACAGGACTGAGTATAAAATGTATAATTTATAATATATATATATATTATAACGTTTAAGACTGTCGCAACTCGTTTGAAATGGAAAAATTTTTATGTTTCGGTGAATAGTATTAATCGACGTCATTACAACACGATTTGCAGCCCAGTTTTTCTTGAATAAAATAAAAGTCACATTTTCAATCTCTGCTTTTTTTACTCTGATATTGTAATGCAAATAATTATCCAAAGTATTATATTATTATATCCTACGTAAGTACTGGGATTGTCGACAGGTATTAATGGTATTGTAATACTAAATAATTAAAAGAGAAAGTCACGAGAAGTATCAGAATGTAAATAATTTAACGTATATTATGTATATAATATATACACAGTAGGTAATATATAGTAAATAATACCTATTTTATAATATTTATATACCTACTTTGTATTTATCTTTTTTTGATTTCAAAACACGTAAAATAAACTATGAGATAACTCGGAAAACTTAAAAACAGTTTATGTATATTTTCACGTTTATGATAAAATAATTAATTTATCTACAGACCATATCATGCACGATAGTTATTGTACGACTGCAGGACCAAAACTAAATAATAATGAAAATATTAAATATTCGACATAATAATATCGATGATAGTAATATTTGCAGTCGGTAGGTACTAAGTACAAACACGAAGAAACGGATTTCAATTATTATGTTCATACTTTTATCGTAACCGATTAATTGACTAAATCTGGTAGGTACCCGCAATGACAATAGGCATACACAAACGATATTGTCTTGATAAGTTTCTATTATGAGTCTTCTCGAGGTTTGCCCGAGCACACAGATCCCGATCTGGTATGTCGGTACCTACGGTCGTAACAATAATGATAATTGCGATAAGAATCGATAGTAGCAGCCATTATAATACCTGTATGTGCCTAAATATTAATAGCAAAATATAATTTAATAAAGGCACACCGCCTCGTAGATTTCGGACTTTAGTGCTGGTCGGGCCGTCGACGATACCATTTAGCTATACTTTCATTAATCATAGTTCGCGGCGTCTTACGAAATTCGTGAACGATATAATATTGTGTCGTGCGGTCGTCGGGTGAAAATACAGTTGCCAAATTAAATTAATAAATAATAACAATAAAATATCGATTATTTTTTTATTATTATTGTTAGTATTTTTGAAAAAAATGCGCAAACTCCGGGACACGGCGGCCGCGGGCCTTTGCTGTTGCGTCACGATACGAGCCTTTTCGCCCTCCTCGTGCGACAGCGAAACGGCCGCGGCGGATCGCGTGGGTTGTTATTCCATTTCCGACGAACGAACGGAAACCACCTGCACCGAAATCCCACTGCAACCCGAACAACAACCAACCGATTTTTATTCTTTGTTCCAGAGCCTCAACGGAAGACTGTTGTTCGCCATCATAGCTTCGGCTTTCGGTTCGGCATTCCAACATGGGTACAACACAGGCGTGGTGAACGCTCCCCAAGCGGTAAGTACCTCAAAAATATGTTATATTATGAACCCACCCATTAAGCACCCGTTTAACTTGGTCTCGTGTGTGTTACTCGCATTCATACCCGTCTACTTCGCGTTACTTGTCGGGCTGTCAACTTCAAAACTGCCAGAGACGTCGAGTGGCAAACCCCTTCGCTGGGCGGGCGTCGGTAGGCCCCACAAAAAATATCGCACATTTCGCAACCCCACATCACCTTAGTCGGGTTCTCTGGCCCTCAATCCACGACTCCGTCTTAACGTTTCGGATTCGTCAAGAGTTTGGTTATAACACTTGAGAACGCTCCTCGATCATGTTATTTTTTTATATTCCACCCCGGTGGGATTTTAATATAATATGTGAGTGGATGCAGGAATCGAAATTCCAGACAGCCGACGTCGAACAATGTTGTTTTTTTAAAAAAAAAAAAAAAGGATTAATAGGGTCTGAGCCTATATATGCTCGTGTCGTCTTATGTATAGTTTATAACATTATTATTATAATAAATCGTGTTTAGTTGTCTACCCGTGTAGGTATATTACAAGGGGTTGATCTCGTTAGCGGGCACAATTGGTGTTTCGTGTAGATTTTTCGTTACCCGATTCCGGTTTGGCGGGTAGGTAAATACCCGACCGATGGTTCCCGCCATCGTATATGCACCGTCAGCATTCCGACCTGGGTACGGTACCAGCGCGGTTAACCACGCAAGCTGTAACCACCTCACCCATACTCACACACACACACACGAGATTTTATTACGAGTAATATAATATTATATTATTAATATGCCTAACGATTGCGTACGACAGCTACACGATGATGATTTTTTTTTTTTTAATACACACATAATCCGTTCGGTAGGGTGGGGATCGAAAATATTTCTGAAAAAAAAAATACCTAGGCACGGCACGATATCGTCGTAAGATTCGGATTCCCAGACTCGGTTCGTCTTACCTGCATTCCTTGGATAATATTATAATAGGTACTATAAAAAAAAATAATCGTTACTCCGAGGGGGTTGGTTTTTTATGGTTCAAAGCAAGGCGCTGTCGGTTTTTTTTATCGGTACTTACATATTATTTTCATTACTTTTTTTTTTCCTTTTAACCCGAATTCGATTGTTAAGATTGTTAGATAATCACATCATGTTTGGTACTATCACATTACAGCGACGTACGCAGAACACGTACAATATATTATTCTGTTTGAACGAATATTACAGTCCGCAAACATAATATTATGCCGAACGTTGAACCGACACAATCTTACTATCAGCTGTTAGATGATAGGAGCTGCGGGGGATTTCCCGCGAATTACTTCAGCTCGACTAAATTTTAATTGTTTATAATATTTATTTATTTATTTATTTATTTATTTATTTATTACAAGATATACGGGTTTCCCCTATAACATTAAAAAAAACAGTAAAATTTAATAGAATAATAGTAGAAAATTGAGAAATATAAAAAATTATATGTAAATAACAGAGAACACAATTTAAACAGTAATTAAGTAAATAATAAAAACGCTTATATTAAACTTAAGAGTTATATTAACAGTGTTTAAGAAACATTAGAACAAATTATCATCAAAAGAGGGGTCCTCATTGGCAAGTGACATCAATCGCCTTAAAGGCTCATTTTGAAGATAATTTGTGTTGGCGGTAGGAATATGGAAGGTCACATGAGAGCGAGATACATGCGAAGGGACTTTGAAGTTGACTTGGGAAAGCAAGCAAGGGGAATCAATATGGTTAGTAATTAGACCACGAATAAATTTTATATTTAACATTTTCCTTCGTTCAGCAAGAGTAGGCATGCCAAGTATGTTAGCGATATTGGTATAGTTGTGAGCTAAATGGCGAATGCCTAACACAAAACAACAAAATATCAAAATTTGTTGATAATAATGTATTTATACATAACATATTATAATATTAATCGTGACAATTATTACTGTCCAAACTTGTGCACCAGACGGTCGACGATTTCCCACAGTCGTACAAGTTACCCAAACGACATACGGATCGTCGTCAAGTCTCTCTTAGTACTAACATCTAAGATCGTCGTCCGTTAAAATAATATTATGCGTAGGCCTCTACGAACGACACAAAAATATGCATTTATAAAAAAAAAAAAATCTAAAAACACCAGAGTTGCATCGAGTGTTAAAAATTAAAAATATATACCCACTCGTATACCCGACGTCTGGTAATAATTTATTGGTATATAGTGGCGGCTGGTACGGACGATAACGGACACAGGAGTTCGATGGGTGCGCGCGCGCGCGAGGTTCACCTTCAATTATCGATTTCGAGAGACATAATAATATTATACTTGTACATATATTTTTTTCATTTCTACTTTCCACGATAGACTAATCGAGTTGTTTTTTTTCTCCATCAAATATATTCAAAATAAATCCCCAAAAAAAAAAACTTTTACCGCCACACACACACACACACACACACGCCCGGACCGGACTCAGGAATGCACGTCGGAATATCTGTCCGCGGACGGCTATAAAACGCGTTTGGGATACGTCTTAAACATATTATGATAATATAATATTATTATATTATGTGCTTATATATATTGTGGAAAATAAAATTAAAAAATAAATCCCAGGGAACCGTTTTTGTGAGCGCCTCCTGTGATGTGGTGCCGGCCTCCGACTCTGCACTGTCGTCGGACAACATGTTTCCTGCCGATATAAATCTCGTTTTAATTTCCAACGCAGCGGAGAGCATCATAGGTTTATTAAATGTGTTTTTTCGAAACCTGCACGTCTTTGGAACGCATTCCCCTGTTTGTGTGTAGTGTTACAAAATGTATTTTTCTCTCCAGATTCGAATGCACTATGAGTGAGTAGTATAGGTACAGTGCGCACCCAGCGCGCATTAGGATATTTCCAGACGCGAAACAAAAACGATATTTTTTCAAACGACTCTACATAGGTATATGATAATATTCTACTTTACAGATTACTATCAGAGTATATTTTTTTTTTAATTAGCTGCTCTCGTTCTACCTTATAAATACGTCCATGTCACTGGTACCCATATATAATTAGGCCCGGCGCAATCATTTCGGCCAAAATTCGAATTCGTACATTTAACGCGATCGTAGTCGAATATTATATATTGACTTGAGTAGTAGCTGCATTGCCCAACGGTTTATTTTTTAGCATGTTTCCTGCCAATATAAATATCGTTTTAATTTCCAACGCAGCGGAGAGCATAGGTTTATGAAATGTGTTTTTTCGAAACCTGCACGTCTTTGGAACGCATTCCCGTGTTTGTGTATAGTGTTACAAAATGTATTTTTTCTCTCCAGATTCGAACGCACTATGAGTGAGTAGTATAGGTATAGTGCGCACCCAGCGCGCATTAGGATATTTCCAGACGCGAAACAAAAACTAGAAAACTCAGTAATTCGATATTTTTTCAAACGACTCTACATAGGTATATATGATAATATTATACTTTACAGATTACTATTAGAGTATATATTTTTTTTTAATTAGCTGCTCTCCTTCATGTCACTGGTACCTATATATAATTAGGCCCGGCGCAATCATTTCGGCCAAAATTCGAATTCGTACGTTTAACACGACAGTCCAATATTATATATTGACGTGCGTAGAGCCGCATTGCCCAAGGGTTTATTTTTCAGCATTTTTAAAGCCAATTTAAATATCGTTTTAATTTCCAACGCAGCGGAGAGCATCATAGGTTTATTAAATGTGTTTTTTCGAAACCTGCACGTCTTTGGAACGCATTCCCCTGTTTGTGTGTAGTGTTACAAAATGTATTTTTTCTCTCCAGATTCGAACGCACTATGAGTGAGTAGTATAGGTATAGTGCATTTTAGGATATTTCCAGACGCGAAACAAAAACTAGAAAACGCAGTAATTCGATATTTTTTCAAACGACTCTACATAGGTATATGATAATATTATACTTTACAGATTACTATCAGAGTAGTATATTTTTCTTTTAATTAGCTGCTCTCGTTCTACTGTATACGTCCATGTCACTGGTACCCAAATATAATTAGGCCCGGCGCAAACATTTCGGCTGACATTTGAATTCGTACCTTTAACGCGATCGTAGTCGAATATTATATATTGACTTGAGTAGTAGCTGCATTGCCCAACGGTTTATTTTTTAGCATGTTTCCTGTCAATAAAATCTCGTTTTAATTTCCAACGCAGCAGAGAGCATCATAGGTTTATTTTTATCTAAAAACTAGAAAACTCAGTAATTCGATATTTTTTCAAACGACTCTACATAGGTATATGATAATATTATACTTTACAGATTACTATCAGAGTAGTATATTTTTCTTTTAATTAGCTGCTCTCGTTCTACTGTATACGTCCATGTCACTGGTACCCAAATATAATTAGGCCCGGCGCAAACATTTCGGCTGACATTTGAATTCGTACCTTTAACGCGATCGTAGTCGAATATTATATATTGACTTGAGTAGTAGCTGCATTGCCCAACGGTTTATTTTTTAGCATGTTTCCTGCCAACATAAATATCGTTTTAATTTCCAACGCAGCGGAGAGCATCATAGGTTTATTAAATGGGTTTTTTTCGAAACCTGCAAGTCGTTGGAACGCATTCCCGTGTTTGTGTGTAGTGTTACAAAATGTATTTTTTCTCTCCGCATTCGAACGCACTATGAGCATAGATTAAATATACTAATATATTTAATCTATGCTATGAGTGAGTAGTAAGTAGATAGGTATAGTGCGCATTAGGATACTTCCACATGGGAAACGAGAACTAGAAAACGCAGTAATTTGGTATTTTTACGAACTATTAGGTATATACGATAATACCTTACACATTACTATCAGAGTAAATTTTTTTTAATTATAGCTGCTCTCGTTATGCTGTATGTCATCGGTACCTACCTAACAATATTAGGCCGGCGCAAACATTTCGGCCGAAAATTGAATTCGTATCTTTAACACGATCGTAGTCGAATATTATTGAAGTGCGTAGTAGACGCAATGCTGAACGGTTTATTTTTTTATCATTTTTCCAGCCGATATAAATCTCGTTTTAATTTCCAACGCAGCGGAGAGTATCATAGGTTTATTAAATGGGTTTTTTTCGAAACCTGCACGTCTTTGGAACGCATTCCCGTGTGTAGTGTGTAGTGTTACAAAATTTATTTTTTCTCTCCACATTCGAACGCACTATGAGCGAGTAGTTTAGGTAGATAAGTATGGTGCGCATTAGGATATTTCCACACAGGAAACGAGAACCTTGAAAACGCAGTAATTTAATATTTTTTCAAACTACTCTATAGGTATATGATAATATTGTACTTTACAGATTACTATCAGAGTATATATTTTTTTTTATTAGCTGCTCTCGTTCTGCTGTATACGTCCATGTCACTATTACCTATATACATAGTTTAAAGATGTTTAAAAAACAACATTTTTATTGAAAAATTATTTTTTTAAATATTTTTTATCCTTATAATTTTTTAAGTTTTTTACTTTTTTGAATGACAACATGGAGTTTTAATTTCATATTCCAAAATGGAATATTTTTCTAAGTATTTTGATACATAAAAGTCGAATTTCGGACGAGTAGTTTAAGAGTTATAAGAATTTAAAGTTTAGATGACCGGAGTTGAGTGGTACGGGGTTACCCCGCAAAATGTTTGTCCACTATTCCGCTTGTCTAAACTTTAAATACTTATAACTCATAAACTACTCGACCGAAATTCGATTTTTATGTATCAAAATACTTAGAAAAATATTCCATTTTGGAATATGAAATTAAAACTCTAGGTTGTCATTCAAAAAATTAAAAAAATTAAAAAATTATAAGGATAAAAAATGTTTAAAAATATAATTTTTTAATAAAAATATTGTTTTCTATATGACTTTAAACTATGTAAAATCAGAATTTGAATATATGCGCAATTTAAGCATAAAAATGGGGTGAGCATGCTTAAAAAATCACCTTGTATATAATTAGGCCCGGCTCAAACATTTCGGCCAAATTCGAATTCGTACGTTTAACACGACCGTCCAATATTATTGATGCAATGTCGAAAGGTTTATTTTTTAGCATGTTTCTTGCCGATATCAATATCGTTTTGATTTCCGACGCAACCTAGAGCATAGGTTTATTAAATGTGTTTTTTTAAAACCCTGCACGTCTTTGGAACGCATTCCCGCGTTTGTGTATAATTACAAAATATATTTTTTAAATTTTTTTCTTTCCAGTTTCGAACGCACTGTGAGCTAGGAGATAGGTAGACAGGTATAGTGCGCATTAGGATATTTCCACACGCGAAACAAAAACTAGAAAACTCAGTAATTTGATATTTTTTCAAACGACTCTACATAGGTAATACCTAACAGATTACTATCAGAGTATATCTTTTTAATTATAGCTGCTCTCGTTCTGCCGTCCATGTTCATGTCACTGGTACCTACACATAATTAGGCCCGGCGAAAACATTTCGACCAAAATTCGAATTCGTACGTTTAACACGACCGTCGAATATTATTAGTAGACGTAAATGCCGAACAGTTTATTTTTTTTTAAGCACCAAGTAAATTGTTTTTTACCTCCAAGTATATTGTTCTGTTTTGCAAAACAAATAATAGCCGTCACTGTTTGGCTGGCTTTAATAATATATCATTACCTCGCTGCGAGATTGCTTCTGTTTTCGACAAAAAGGAAACTCATTCGACCGGTGTTCAATCGCCGTGTTAATAATGTAGAATTAATGCTCTGCCGATAATCCTCCGGAAATCCCTCAGTTGATTTACGTGGCCCGCTACAGAATTTTCTGTCGTGTTTAAAAGTGCGTTACCCACCTGTAGAATATAGCGCTTATACGACCAATCGGTATCAGATGGTCAAACATTAGCGCATTATGGGGTGAGGGGATTTCAGGGACGTCATTTCAACTTTTTTTTTGTTGGTGCGAAAATGTTTGCAGGCCATTCAAATCATTACCTGGCCACATAGAAAACATTTTATTTTTTTTTTATGGGAAGGTGGGCCAAGTGGGGACAAAAACTATAGAATATTTGTATAATTTATTTAACATGTCACTTAATATATTAGTATGAAAATATCACACAATGTTACTATTTTTGACGAACTATGTGTCGGTACTTTTAATGTATTTATTTTATATTGTGGATACCAGTGTACAGTGGTATTTACACTTGGTAAATAAATGTATGGGTATAAAACACCTTTATAATAAAATACCTAACCTACACACTTTTTCTCCCTGCATACTCAAAATAGTCAAAATATATAATATTGCTAGTTTATAAAACCAGAAATTTATTTAATGGGTACCCTTCTTCACATTGTTTGTGTTATAATTTTATCAATTATAATATTGTGGGACCTCAAAACCACATTTTCGGAAATTAAACATTAGTGCAATAATTTTGTTTTCTTAATACTGAAAAAATATAAAATATATATAATATAAAACACTTGGGTATGTCGGCGATTATAATTATTGTTGGCAGGCCAAAGAACTGTCAACCACCCACAATCATAGAATATTATACATTATTTTACTGTATAAGCAGGGTTTGTGATTTTTTCCATATCGTTACAGCTGATCGAAAAATGGATTTCCGGTGTGATATCTGACAGAAACGACTTCAAGCCAACGGACCAAACACAAGTGACATTGATATGGGCCATTGCGGTGTCGATATTCTGTGTCGGCGGTATGGTCGGCGGTCTGAGTACAGGCTTCGTGGCCGAGAAGTTTGGTCGCAAGGGCGGTTTGCTAGTGTCCAACGCACTGGTCATCCTGTCGGCTGCACTCCAAGGTAAGGCGAAAATCGATCCTTGTTTGATTTTACTCAAACGATAGTTGTGATATAGTAGTATTAGTATGCAGACGGTTTTACACTTTTTGACATAAATTCGTACGACATTATATAGTCGTACACGCAGTGCCGTAACTAGGTTACTTGAGGCCTGTGTGCAAAACCAGAATATTGAGGCCCCTTATTATATTTGTCAATACACACCTCAAAAACTTTTTTTGCAATTTTTAAAGTCAGCAGACAAAAATTCGGGCTTAAACAAAAAAAAAAATTTTTAATTTAAAATAATCTATAATTTTAAAACAATTCCTCAAGGCTATAACTAACCCAAAAAAGTAAAAATTTTCTAAAATGTAATTTATTGAAAATATTAATATAAATATTTGGTGAAAACTTCAATGGTCTACGGTTATTAGTTTTCGAGTTATACCAAAAAATACAATTTTTGGTTTTAGGTAAAAATGACAATTTTTTTTTTTATTGACGCTTTTTAATAACTAAAACTAAAAATTTCGGTTTCGATCTCCAAAAAGTACCAACTAGATTCACTTTTCTAACAGAAAAAATGCTGATCTCAAAGTTCGGAATATTTTTACTACCCAATGTTGATGACCGACAGAAATGAAAAAAATTATACACATCTTGTAAAATCAATACATTTGTTCTTTCCTCTCGAAATCTAAAAACAGTGATCACTACTCCATGCTATATAAAAAAAAATGAAATAACATTGGTTTCGTTTCCAAATCAATACCTAATAAATAATTTATATATTTTAATAATTTTATTTTAGTTTAATATTAGTCTTTAGATCTTTTGAGGCCCTTCGATATGTTATGAGGCCCGAGGCCTGTGTGCGATGCACACTTTGCACACCCGGTTTTTACGGCACTGCGTACACGTTAAAACACTTATCGTGTAGGCCGGATCATAACATATATTATACATTTATTATAGACATTAATTGTATTGTGATGGAGTTGAAAAACCTTTTTAACGTCTTACCTCTACTAGAAATATTGTAGTATCTGCTTAAACAAAATAGTATTTTTTTTTTATAATCCATTTCTGAAAGCCAATAAATTCTTCTCGTAAAAAATCGATATACCCATAACCAGTATACCTACAACTAATATCCGCATATATATATATTATATTATGTAATACAATATTATACGTTTGTCGTTAGATAATTAAACATTAAGCATGCACATGTGTACACTCAGTGCACAGATGCTGACAGCCTATGCTCGTCTGCAACACGCTGAAAAGCTACGTCGTTATTATAACCAATGAATAAAACATTGACATTAGTTCACTGTTTTAATATAATATGGTAATTTATTCAAATACAATTTCTAATTTCTCTACGACTTATTATATATTATAGTATCCCGCCAAATCCCGTACCAAAGTCAGGGTCGACTGGTGTTATTAGTGTTATTTATTACGTAGGCACGTGTTGTATCCGCCAAGGAGACGTCAATAAAATGTCATATAGTCATTACCACCCACGCTCTTAGTTACGTGCATTTACTATTTAACTAATTATAATTTTAAACTCTTAAAAATAATATTTTGTACATTATTTTCATTTAAAGACTTCCATGGACAAGTCATAGGGCATAGCTAATGCATCTAAGTAACTTTTAACTTATGTTAACTTGGATTAAATCTTCTACATATTAATTTTAAAAATGTTATTGGGACGAACTTGAGAAATATCGTACAGGTAAATTCAAAAAATTCTTATACTTTAACTGATACATTGATGAATACTTTTCACATGCTAGGTACTGACTTTAATTATTTTACTAATTTATATACGTCGACACCTAATTTGTCAACCGGAAGTCTTACCCTTGACATTCGTGCGGATAATCGAGTTAAAAACAATCTCGGTTTGGTGTAGAAACGATAGGCGTGTTTGTATCATACCAACTGAACCGAATTTATTAAAACAAAATATGAAAAACAACTATATAGACGTAACACATACATTATAATATACTATTAGTGTTTGAAAATTTCATGAAATTTAAAAAAATGAAATATTTCAGTATTTTAATATATTTTGTTTTATTTTTAAATAAGTTTTATATTTACATATAATTGTCATAAATTACCTTCATCACTATATGGTGCCTGTATGTATACCTAACCTTTGGTATTATACATTTAAATTGGTATTCAAAATTTTTAAATATTTTAATGTTTAAATGATACAAGTAGGTATACAATATTATACATATTATATATTATTATTATTATATATTATTATATTATTATATTATACATATTGTACATGTATATTGTATACTTACTGAATTCTGACATTAGAATTTAGAACACTGAACATTGTGTTAAAAAAATAAATAAATTGTGTTTTTATTTGTGTTAAAAAAAATTTCAATGTTTCACGTTTTTGTGAAATATTTCAAAATGAAATATTTCTCATACTTCCAACACTATATATACTATAGTATTCTCAATAGTCATCAATGACACTACAAATTGTCAAAGGTTGCGACTGTAAAAGAAAAAATTGGACGTCCGTAACACGAAGCGTTATTTATGTAACGATTAACTGTAAATTGTCGTCAAGCGCACGTATGCACGTGTACTAATAATAATAATATTATGATTGTGATTATTATTATGTAGTCGACGGTGGTGTACAGCATAGTACACATCACATTTAATACACATAGCAAGTCGACGTTCATATAACGTCCAATTGATGTTAATTGGGTCCGAGGAATTTCCTCCCGCATCCTTATGAAATAAGTTTTCTTCTTACTCCACAATATTCGCCACGAGATGGAGCCCAAGAAATTGATTATATTGTATATTAACGGGTCGTTTAGACTTTTTATTTGTATTATTCAAAACGTCACTCGCTGTATTATCATCATTACACTCGTATACGATTGTCGTATAGAATTTTATTATTTTTCCATCTAACGAATACAATATGGTTACGAACAAATACGTGCTGTCGCAACTGCAGAAACATAACTTTATATACAGGGGGATTGTATATATCTTATATCAGTCCTGTAAAGAATACTTTTGAAAAGTACTTGAGTAAGTACTCAAATACATTTTTTTTTAAGTATTTAAGATACTACTCAAATACTTTGAAAAAGTATTTGGAATACTTTTCAAAAACTTTTGGTTTTTAAAGTGGGTTTCTAATTATTGTAATATAGGCACATAGGTAGTAAATTTATAATCATTTTTATTTATTATTTATTAAATAAATGTTTATTACATTTTTTTTTTTTTTTCATGAAATTTACAATCTGTTCTTAACTAGAACAATAACCAAATGTGCATAGGGTATTTGCGTATGATTTTTTTTTTTGAGGAAAGAAACCACCCATTGGTGATACTACCTATTTTGTGTTCTTAATTCATTCTAAAATTTCTAAAATTATTTCGAATAAAAATAAAATGTTTGAAATAAAAAACCAAAGTATTCAATACCAAAAAGTATTTAATGCAAAAAAAAGTATTTAAAATACCATTCAAAATACTTCATGCTGAAAGTATTTAAAAAGTTATTCAATACTTAAAAAAGTATTTGAATACTTTTACTCAAATACTTTACAGGACTGTCTTATATGCACTTAATATCATTGTCTCCGTAATAATTGTTTGTGTTTTTAAATCAGTACCGAAAAACATAGAATACATGTTTACACAGAATATTGTAAATGCCATGTTATGTACACTGCAAATTTCCATTATGTTTTTGCGAATAAAATTATGCGTTTCTATTAAACGAAATAATTACAATTTCTTTTCACTGAAAAAAAAACAAAAAAAATCTCCAACTGTATAATATTATGCTTAAATATCATAACCATAAGGTTATAACTGTCTAAATATTTTATCGTTTTTTTTTTTCTTGAAAACATTGCAGTACGTATTGTTGTAATGCCTCGTAGATTGTAATATAATATATGGTTCGTAAATCGTAGAATTCACACGTATTTCAAGCATAATTCCTAGGCAATGTTTTGATATTTGTACGTCTATATCAGAGGTTCACAATCTTTTCTGACTCGTAGGGTATTTTCTAATGATATTGCGGAGATAATATAGTGTATAATATTATTTATATTTTTCAATTTATCATTGGTGTTGCCAAACCAGTATAAAAATAAAAATATTTGAACTTTACAATATTTCACAAAATACCTACTCACAATAAATTTATCTTTCGTATACGAAATTGCGAAACTCATGTTTGATGCTTTCTCTATTTTAAATAATTCTTCGGCACGCTGAATCCAATAGTTTATGGCATCGACGTTGTGGGAACCGCTGGTCTGCATGATATACACGCGAACATAATATTATGATACATACCTACTATAGTTTTAGTTAAAAAATATTATCTCGAATTGAAATTTAAAAAAATAACAAACGCCACTCATGAATTATTTATTTGAACTGTCCGTAAAAATTATTATAAATTATTTTCGCGTTTTATACGTATTCGAATATACTGCACGTTGTATGCATTCGTTTTCGGACGAGTTCTAGAAATGATATGATTATGTATTTTACATTTATAACGTTTGATATTTCTGCCCATTTAATACCGAATATAGTTTAAAATTGTTCGCAAGCCGTCTGGCAACGAGGCCAGTGAATTATATTATTTTCTTCTCGAGAAATGCGTACACTTACAGTCTTCGTCTTCGTTTTGTATGCATTTTAAAACTAATATTATTATTTGTGAAAAGCAAAAAAAAAAAAACTACAAGAAAAATATTATCTCAGGCGCTTTGCACACCTATAATCTAACCGTTTAGAAAACAAATAAATATTTTTCATAATCTAACAAAATATAATCCGTCAATTTCAGCCCCTTACTGATTTCTATATACTTTCGTAATATGTTTACAGGCCAACTCTATACGCGCTTTCCTCGTTTTTCTTTTTCCTTTTTCAGTGGAGAGTGCAGGGTGAGGGGGTTGAGCTCATCAAGTCCAACGTCGTAACCAACATAGATCACTATATTGTCGTGATTCACTCGACGACTTTTACTCGACTTTCGTATACATTACTGCGATTCGCATATTATTACCATCGATATTATCGTATTCCTGCAAAGTCTGTACAACAATAATACGTGCAAGCTCCTCCCTGAAGCTAGCATATTCACAGCGGAAACCCAAGCTATCAAAGAAGCCATAATGTTCGGAAAGTCAACACTATCAAATAAAATCTTAATAATCAGCGACTCCCTAAGCGCCCTTCTAGCAATCGAAGCACCGAACCCCTCTAATGAGATAATCTGTCAAATACATAATATCATCACATCGACCCATAAAGCAATCGAATTCATGTGGGTTCCCTCACATACGGGCATTCCTGGAAATGAAAAAGTAGATATACTAGCAAACGAGGCAATCACCTCGTCCTCATCCTCAACCATTACCACCCTCCCATACCAAGATGTCAAAAGATGTATAAATATACATATTTCCAATATGTGGCAAACATCCTGGGATGAAATACCAATCACCAATAAACTTAAATCGATTAAAAAGAAAATCACTAAATGGTACACTCAGCCCAATGCCTCCAGACGATCCGAAATCATCAATACCAGAACAAGAATCGGCCATACCAATCTCACCCACATTCACATCATAAAACATGAAGAACAACCTCTCTGTAGCCAATGTAACGAACCGCTCTCAATCAAACATATAGTCTTAGACTGCCCGCTATATGTCAACGCAAGAAACATCCTTAACCAACCATCAACGATGGAGGAAGCTCTAGGAGAACACAACACGCACTTGATCCATACCTTCTTCAAATCTATCGGCATTGACACAAAAATTTAATGCAAAGATAGATCTACACTGCTATAAATATAATGTAAATATACAACATCACTGTAAAATCCATATATACCACAATTGTAACGTAAAACTAATTTAGAATTTAGTCATTTATTTGTATATTCACTAATTAACGATAATGTAATCACAACCACAGGCTAATGACCTAGATGTTGAAGCCTTTATCATCAATAAAAAAAAAAAAAATAATACGTGCAGTAGTACCTATCACATAATATTATCATGGGCTACCTATGGAAAACACGGGCACGTGTGTGTGTTTGTTTATTATTTTTATTTCGCGTGCGAATGCTTTCACCGGCCGTGTTGACTGTTTGCCAACGTTATTCGCCATTTAAGGAGCTGTGCCCTTTAACGCTCAGCACGCGATTGCATCTGCGAGGAAACGCGGTCGACGTTCTCAAGTGCTTTTTTATTCAAATTTTATCAAATATATTATAAATCGATACATTTCCATATCGTCTATATATATATATCTATAATAGGTACCTACCTATTCTACCCTCGGTGCGAATCGTACGACTTTTGAATGCGACGCAATTATATTGTTAATATTCTGCAGTTATTATTTTATTAACGAAATATATTAAATTAACCACCTGCAGCAGCATCATAATATCCACCTATATTGTGTACGTGAAAAGATTGTTTGGTTTTCCGAACATACCCATAAAGGAAATCGTTTCAAAACCCATACAAAAGTATATTCACATCGTGGCCCTACGAAATTGTTACGTATTCTACGTTTGTCATTATTTAGTGATTTTTTTTTTCTTAGTCGGAGGTGAAGTTTAACGACCGCGCATAGTATATTATTTCTTTTAAACGAATATAAAGTAAATCTAAATTTATATTCATAATATTATATAATAATATGACAGTTGAAAGTAACACATCATGCGACGTGTATTCATTTGTTCTATATGTATATTTTATTGTAATTATTGACAAACATAAATTATAACTTTGTCGCATTTTTATTATGTTTAGGCGTTTCAAAGATGTACTCATCGTACGAACTTATCATCATCGGACGTTTTATCATCGGTATCAACTCCGGACTTAACGCTGGGCTGACCCCAATGTACCTGGCCGAGATCTCTCCCATGAATTTACGTGGATCCGTAAGTATACAATTTTCCGGAACAGAATTGTTGTTTTTTTTTTTTTTTGACAACTCAACGGCTGGGTATTAAAATATTTTTACTCTGACGGTTTGTACAGGTCGGAACCGTTTACCAACTGGTCGTTACCATTTCGATTTTGATATCCCAAATATTGGGTTTGGACTACATTTTGGGTACAGCTGAGCTTTGGCCCATACTATTGGCCTTAATCATCGTGCCAGCCATATTCATGTTCGCCACATTGCCTTTCTGCCCGGAATCACCAAAGTACACGCTGATCAACAAGAAGAAAGACATCGAAGCTGAGAGAGGTATGTAATCATATAATATACCTGCCCACCTATTATTTAACCCAGTGTTCAAAGTATTCAAATACATTTTTAAGCTTAGTCATATTGTGTGATACATTTACCTGGTACATAGAACAATGTAGATTTAATTTTTAAGATTAAATACAGCGATGCGCTGTCGAGAAGACCGGAAGGGTTGACCGAACACTCTATCCTATCTGACATTATATAATATTCAAAAATGTCATGTAATAATAATTTTGAAAATGATTAATCCCTCTGAAAACTTGTTTAGTGTACAAATCTGATTATAAAGGTACCTTCATAAAATTAATACAAATCATATTCACATCGATGTGATATACTTATAGAATTAAAATTACAGAAACACAATACGTTATTTATTAAATCTATAAAACGAATAATGAAACTTTTTATTTTTTTTTTAAAGTATTAAAATACTATTTCATGTACTTTTTATGAATGTATTTAATGCGTGTTTCGAATACTTAATGAGTATGTATTTGAACACTTTTACTCGAATATTCTAAAACACAGTAGCTATACTTATCCATCCATAATCAATGCAATTTTATATACTATTACCTAAGTACTCCATGAATGTGATTCATCTAGGTTTTGGTTAGGATTCTTGCTAGAAGTGATCATGGGTTTTTCTGTGTTTCCGGGTTTTACGGTCTTTGGTGAAATCAAGTGACGTGCACACTTTGACTTCCAACAACAATCATACTATTATACAAATTGACGTGGCATTTGATTTCACCAATAAACCAAAAGGAAATTCGATAAATATTCGTTTTCCGGTCGGTCTTATTGTATTATACTATATAGATTCGGTTACAATATTGTTGCAATAATTGTATACATAATAAACCTAATTTCCATTATCGTTTTTGTAAAATTACGTTGTATCAATGACACATTATAATATGTTTCTTGTAGGACTGCAATGGCTGAGAGGAACGATCGAAGTGCACGACGAGATGGATGAAATGAGAGCTGAAAACGAGGCGATGAAGGTTATCCCAAGAGTAACTCTTCGTGAGATGTTGTCGAATCCGATGTTGAAAACTCCACTAGGAATATCTGTGATGATCATGTTGTGCCAACAGTTGTCCGGTATCAACGCCGTAAGTATTATCCATAAATTCTACTAGGTAACTTTCTTGTATACATTTATAATATACAAAATATGTCTTTTTCATATAAAACACAATATTGCTCGTTTGGAGTTTGCGAAATTATATATTTTGTCATTATATTATGTCATGTAACGTTTTTTTTCCACATTTGTTCGTGTCTTTCACAAACGTATATAGTTTGTCTAAAATTGTTTGGTTTAAATTTTCGACGAGCTGTAATTATGTAGCAACGCTGTTCACCGATACGACAAGCCACTATAACCGTCGCTTCAAATATAAAATTATCGACCGGCCATCGACAAAATTAAAATAAAATTATTCATATTAAACAACACTAGTTAACTTAATACGGTTCTTAGACTCGGACAATATGTCCTACCGCTGTGTACTTGTATCATAAAAATAGTAAAAATTGTTACTGTTTCCAGGTCATGTTCTTCTCCACGAAAATCTTCAATATGGCTGGGATGAGCAATGATGGAGCCAAGTACGCCACGCTCGGCATGGGTTCACTCAACGTGATAATGACGCTGATCTCTCTATTTTTGGTTGAACTCACCGGTCGAAAGACTCTGTTAATGATTGGATTTTCTTCCATGTTCGTCGTCACCGTTATGCTTACTATCGCTCTGATGTTTGTGGTAAGTGCATGTCTTATAACATTTAGGCCATAAAACTAAAATCATATATGATTATCGTTACGCCGAGGTGGTTTGTTATTGTGGAGAAGAGTATTTTTTATTTTTTTTTGGATGGGATGGAAAACATTTTTTCTTATATTATAGTATTATTTTTTACACATTGTACTAGTCTTAATGATGACATTTAAGGGGTAGATGGGTACAATTTCATATTTTAATATCAAATTTCGAATGCGCAACTGCGAGACTTAGTCCTTATTACAATTATTAATCTTTTTTTAGATGGGCTAATTTTTTATTTTTTAAATTAAATTTCAAAAAATATTACAATCCATAAAATAAAGCAATATTATGACCTTCTATTATGCTAATAAACGGGACATTGCAATAAATGTATATTTGTAAATGCTAAATGGCATTTTATAATGAAATTCGAAAAAGCAGCAAAAAAAACATTTTGTCAATTTTATTGACATGCTCAATTATTATCGGTGTATATCATGAATCATGATAAATGTATATACCACGTGATTAATCATGTCATATTAATTAAAACGTTCTAACAAAAATATTTAGCTACACAATTCATATATAATTTATTATCATGTGGGCTGATTTATTTTGTCCAAAAAAAAAATGTACGACTCTCTTCCAACCACCGAATGCGCATAATACAATATCATTATCTATTTACCTATATTAATTTATCGTTTTTTTTTTTTTTGTTCTAACAGAATGTCAGTTCCATTGTGTCCGGTTTGGCCGTGATACTCGTCATGGCCTTCGTCATCGCGTTCGCCGTCGGTCCAGGATCCATCCCGTGGTTCTTAGTGTCCGAATTGTTCAACTCGTCTGCCCGACCATTGGCCACCAGCATAGCCGTCGGAGTCAACTGGACGGCCAATTTCGTCGTCGGCCTGGGTTTCCTACCTCTACAGGTAACGACAATCGCACTGCTCCCAAGTGGATTGTGTCCACGATATTGTATATACATACAAAGGTTAGGCTTGGTATATGCCTGCAGTCTGGTATATACCGTCGTGGTATCCGCCGAGGTTAAGTCCTTACACCATGAGGTTAATAATGGTAACTTTTCGAAGTCAGCAGGTGGTTGGCCACAGTCACTAATGTGTGCTGCGTTCAAGCATCGTCGGTATAGACCACCAGGTGACCACCCGAGTTTTTAGCGACGTACCCTCGCTCCATATAAACACGTGTTCAACCTTAAACCCTAACCTAACCTAATGGTCTGGATTATGTAGCCAAGTCATTAAAAAAATGGTAAACATTTTACGTGAAAATTCCCGTTTTCCCTCTTCTGACTATTTTAAAAACAACTGCAGTTAAATTATTTACTTTTGAGCCACAAATACCATCGACTGGATTCGATTTGCCATCAGAAATCAGCCTCAAATTGGAGCACTCTTACACCTCATAAAGGTGACGTCAGATAACGCCTCTCACCCCTCGACTTTGTAAGACCATTGCAATCGGTCCGCTCAGAATCTAAGACATAATAACTAATAATTATTTTTTACACATTTATTAATTTATATATTTTTTTTTTGCTCCATACAGGAAATGTTGCAGTCAAACGTGTTCCTCATATTCGTCGTGTTGCTCGCGCTGTTCGTGTTGTACGTGTACAAAAAAGTTCCAGAAACCAAGAACAAGACTTTGGAAGAGATTCAAATGGGTTTCAGACAGGAATCGTACAAATAATCAGGCGCGTCCTGTGTTACATAGTAGTAATAATAATAATACTATGACACCACCGAGAAAAAGATTCCTCAGCCAGAAGCTATATAATATAATACAAATACATATATTATATATATATTATACGAGTACCTTTTTCATTACAATATAAAAAAATATTTATGTGGTATAAAAAAAAAAAAAAAAATTAAATCATCATATACAGTTGTAATAATTAGATAAATTGAACCCCGTCCCCCTGCCCCATATTATTATTATGTTAATGATTGTACATGTTGCGTATTGCACCCCGAAAACACCTTACCCTCATGAAATAATAGATTATGATATATTTTATACCGCGTCCGTTTTCCACAGTTTTATAGTGGTCATTAACCGAATTCGATCAGTAAAAATTAATCTTCCATTCGAGTAACCACCTGTTTTTTCATCCAGATAACATTTTATTTTATTCTCAAAGATAGTATATTATTATATGCATATTATTATTATGGTTTTTTTTTTTTTTTTTTTATGTTCTCTGTTAGAATCAATCGTATAAACATTTTTGCCAATAGTTTTAATGCTCGTAAAATTGAATTATTTTTTCACGGGTAAAGATTATAATGTTTTAATTTATTTTATTATATTTTTTTTTTTTTTTGTGTATTTTTTATGAAATAAAAGTGTAATTAATTTTATCATTGCATCGTAATACTATTATCCTATCTACTATATTATTGATCCCTCAATGGGTAGATAAAATAAATCGTACCTGCACTATGTGGAGATCGATCAAAATCATGTATCAACTATATACCTGTTTAACTATTATTTTAAAAGAGAATAATGTTTGATTGTAATTTAAATAGACTAACTACTAATGCGTTATTTGCATAATTATTTTTTTAACCGATACATTATTTTTATATACATATTACATACTATATATATTATAATTCATAAGTTTTCAGATGGAGCGTGATATTACTACTGGTTTAGTAGTTAACCGATGATAATAATTAAATGTTAGATAAAATATATTTAATATATACCATTAGGGAAATTGAAAAGAGGTTGCATTTAACGTATCATTTGTATACAACATTATTATTTTTTTTTTTTCAACTATTTATATTGTAAATTTCAATATATTATCATTATGAAATTATTACATATTATACATGATTAGATAAATAATATAATATTATAATAGATATAATTTAACCGAATTCATTTCTAATCCCGAAATGAATGTAACGTTCCAAAGTAAATAATGTAGTTGTTATTTTTCAAAATTATTAATTAGATAAAAAAAAAATAAACACCTTTGAACTTGTTTTAAACAGAAAACAAATATTATGATAAGATTAGAAAAAATGTTTTTTTTTTTTTTTGTTAAACTATATTAGGAGTAGTATAATATACTGTGCATAATATATTATCAAAAATGAATTTCAGTAACTAACACATTATTACAATTTAGGTACACACACTAATAGTAATATACCTAGTAAATAAAAATAATACCACATACATGTTTATTTAAATTACAAACAATTCTTATTAGAAAAATATTAATTTACAATAATAACTATAGATTTATTTTTATTTTACTTATACTAATTAACATATTATTGGATTTAGAATTAGAATATATATTAAAGCCATACGATATTTTATAATTTTGTATGTATATTAATTATAATTAGCCATCCATTTTAAGACGAGACGTTTTATATTATCGGTGATCAATTGAATATAATTATATTTTTCAGTACGAATAATAAAAAAAAGCTTTTATAAACTTCACTCTTCAACACATGAATATACCTCAAAATTAAAGACTTCAAAACCAAGTGAAATAAAACCTTAATATTGTATCAAATTGTACAATCCTCTTAAAAATATTGATGTGTATAAATTAATAATAAATTATGTTATTTGTAACGCACAAATGTTAAGAGGACGTCGTGATGTGTTGTCTCCTTCTTACAAATGTACAAAATAGAAAAAAACTGTTTTGCGAGGGAAACCACCGAAAAACTTTCAGTCATAATATTATTTAAGAAACGAAATTTTCACCACATAAAAAAGAGAGCTTTGGCTGTGAAATGTCTTTTTTATTTTTTCACTTGCACTTACATAGAAAGTATTTATTGTTTCGAAATACATTGTCGTTTGTGTTTTTCAAAAATGAATAACTTTTTACAGAAAAAATATAAACGATATTACACAGCAGAAATTCTGATCTTTACGTGGTGAAAATTTCGTTTTGAAAACATTTTTTTTCTATGCCATACAAGTGTAAGATACGAAGACAACATATGCTGGTGCGAAGTCCTCTTAAGTACAAGTAGGTACTTGTACCTAAGTACAGGTGTCAATGTAATTTAAAAGAAAAAATATATAATACTATTTTGAAATCAATAAATATTTAAAGAATATATTATTTATCTCGAATTTCATAATTTTTGGTTTTGAAATTTTTTTTTTTAACAATGAACTGATACAATACTGATATAATAATTATTTATTCTAGGTTTGAGTTTTAAATCGAAATTGTGTCAAAGATTAACATGTGAAAACTATTTCTTAAATTTGTTTTAAGAATCCACAGAATAACAGTGTAATGGTTATGGGTATATTATTTGTATTATGTGTGAATATCATTCATTAGATACGCATAATTAGAATTTAGCACTCAATTAAATACTCAGTATAGCTTGGGCGCAATAAACTAATGAAACATTAATATTTCTATACACTTCAGCAAGTCCTAAACGCAGTTTGATAACCTATTAGTGAACTTGACATTACAATGTATTTTATATGAATCAAAAAATAAAACAGATATAAAATATGAATTAATGTTGTTAACCAGTTAGGTACCTATTAGCAAACCTTACAACTACAGCTGTGATTACTTAGACAGGAATAGGTCAATGATTTTCGAAAAAATTACAATAATTAAACTTTGAATTGGGTGACATTGTATATTCAATCATTCGAAACAAAAAAAAAAACCAGTGCCTGTATAATTAAATTTAAAACTTGGACAAAATTTCAATTTTATTTTTTCTCACACATTTGTATTTTTTTTGCCCTACCAAACAAATCGAATTTAAATGTTTCGTTCTACAGGGTGCGGCAGTCAAATAAGACGATTTGAAAAAATAAAAAAATTGAAAAATATTTTTTATTAATTATTGGCCAAACAAATAAAAATTTCACAAGTGGAATTTTATGTTATATATTTAAAAACTTCATTTTTTAAAGATTGTGTCAGGCAAATGCCTTCCTTGGTTAGCCACACATTACCACTACATATATCATTACTTTTGTGATGCTCTTTTACCTCTAACGCACGCTGTTCACTCGAAAAATTCTCCATGGTTACTAAATTCCGGGCATATAAAAGCCATAAGAACATTCCCGAAATCTCTACCACTTTAGCCGGCGCCCACCAGTTCATTTTAAATGGTCGGGTTTGACTGCCGCACCCTGTATATCAATTTACCTACTATAACATCCACAATGGCTAAACTGGCTGTAAGCCCATTGAAATGTACCTATAAATTAAAATACAAATTATATTTTTACAGTAGCGATGGCTGTTATCAGCTACTATGGACTTATCGACAATAATCGAGTGCGTAGTAAAATATTATTATTTAAATGTTATTATAAGTATATTATATTGTTATGAGCGATATAAAACTATTAATTTGATTATATTATTATGTAAACATATATTTCGCATCGATAATTATTACATTTATTTGCAGGCTAGTGGTCAATATAATAACTGAGTAGGCACATTGCTTGGTCAAACGTCGGAAATTAATGTGTAGGTCCCTACCTAAAGTATTACTAAACGATTTTAGAGACGTTATTGAAATAAAAAACAAAATTTAATATAACTGTTAATTGTTACGAGTGTATTTTTTTTTTAAGTGTTATCTGCAGTTATGAATGTACAAATTATTATCTATTTGCATAGCTATGTGTATTATACAGTCGAGTCTCGACAACTCAAATGGGATAAAAATTAATATTCGACTTGTGCGTTTTTAGAGTTGTAAACCTCAAAATATGTAACTTGACGATAATTCAATGGACGAGAAAATAATTCGAATTGTTACGAAGGTTTTCGAGTTACCGCGACTCGACTGTATGTTATATTTTATTATTAGTAAAATTGACCTATATTATTGGCAAAGACAATAAATTTCGTGTGTATAATATTTTATATTGATAATAATACAATATTTGATATAATATATGATTATATTTGATCCGTCATACGCGGCTCTTAACGACAAATTGGTGAATTAGATTTTACAATTTTTATTCAGAGTGATGATATCAAATAAATCGCATTATTATTTGTTAATGGTTTTCGTTTGTTTTTTGACACCTGTCTTACTACGAGTAATGTTTAATATCGTTAACAATATAGTCTAAGTCGTAAGTAAAACGGTTTATCTTTACAATGGTCCACATTTTTTTTTATTTTGTATAAAAACCGTGTCTGGGCCACTCCAAACAATGACTATAAGGATATATAGTTTCGATCAAACGTGTAGACACGATAATATTTAAACGCTAACTATCTCTATTTTAGCTCCATATACTTACCCCATCCAATAGCTCAAACACGAAAAATATGAGTGAATAGAACTACTCTGCGACTCAGATTGTCGACGGTTTGAATTCAAAAACGTCATGGTCCAGAAAATAGTCTTCCAGACTGTGTACCAAATTTGGACAGCTTTCACTTAGCGATTACGCTCTTAGGAGAGGACGTTTGATATTTGGCAACATTAAACACGTCATAATATTGTGATATTTATCGAAAACATTTTTCTTGAGGTTTTCCGATAATGCTCTCGTGCCTAGATAATATGCTTATAATATTATACATTTATAAGTCTCGATAACTGGAATAAAAATAAATTTGAGTTATGTATTTTTCGAGTTAAATACATCAAACATGACTTGAAAACGCCTCAGAGGGCGAG